CTGACCAGTGTGCGCCTCATAGCGCACGTAACGATACCACTTGCGACGATAATGACGGTAGCACCTAGAACGATCCATCCTCCCCAGCCCACATGCGGCACGAACAGCAGGATGTCAACGAGGAAGGCGAGCAGCGTGACCAGCAGAGTCGGGAACGTGAATATGAGCAGGGCGAGGAGGTAGCGCGGCGAGTGGGCGGGCGAGTGGAAGTGGGCAGCGACGGAGAGACCGAAGCAAATCAGCGTCATGAGAGCTGCGACGGGGTGCACGATGAGAATAGAGGAAAGCGCATGGCGCTGGGCGGAGGGGAGCGAGAAGTCGGAGCTGTCTTCGCCTGCGAACAGTTTCTCTGTTTGAACAATTAGCACCATGGCCGTCGTATGTGATACAGGGCGCCATACCAGTGTTGTACCCGATCATGGGCCCTTTGCAGCCTTGGTCGCCATTCTCGCAGTAGCCGAGGACGCCAAAGTGAACACCGCGGTAGGTAGCGAGGGGAATGCTCTTGATCAGTGGCGTCGAGAGCGTTGAAAGCAGCAGCAGCACAAAGGCGACGAAGAATAGTATCGATAAGGGGGTCGCAGGGCGCAACATGTTGGCGAAGAATAACGGAGGCTACCGCGTGGAATTCCGGCTCGCCAGAGACCGGCTCTCTCAAGGCGACGACGTGGTGTTGGGGAGGGCGATCGGACGTGTGCGCGACGAAGGTGAAGGTGCAGACGGTCCGCAGTCTCGTAACAGTGGGCGCAGTCGTAAACGTGCCTAAGCGCACTCTTGCCCTGACGTGAAACGAGTGACGATCGAAGTTACACCAGTTATGCCTGTTGGGTCATTGATGCCTCGAAGGAGCTTGAGCGTGCGCGACGACGGCTGGACACGCGATGAGGCGCTCGAGGGGGCAGGCGCTGGCTGTTGGGGGTTGCGGGGAAGCGTGGTAGGCTTGGACACGCCTGGAGGAGGTGGGCGGAGGGCTGGAAGGAGCGACGGTGCAGCAGCAGGAAAGAGCGGACGCGCAGCCAATCACGAGTGTGAATGGCGCGAGGTATAGCGAACGTTGGAACTATGCCGGCTAGTCGCTGCAGTAACTTGGTATTGACGCGGGACCTATCGAGCCGTTGACGTTGACCCAGACGTCTAAGCTGTCGCGCTGTGAATGAATGTAGCGTGTTGGACGACCCCCGGCGGCAGTATTTTCGCGGGTAGCCCCGTTGTCGCGCCCCTTGCCCTCGCAGCAGGCCCGTCTTACCTGCGACTTTGCTTTGTGTTCGGAGCATCAGTCGGAGTCGCACGCGTCCACGCTGCTCTCCCGCCCCAGTTTGGCAGGGATATCTATCGTCTCATTTCGCGTAGACGCACGGCCCATCATCCAGGCACTGAGAACACCGTTGCTCTGCTGCGTGCTTCAGACGAAGCCGCTGAAACACAGACCCTTTCTTCTTCCTGGTCCTGAGGCAGCGCAGCGACTGTCAACACCAGCCATCGTGGTCGCCATCTGCTTCGACGACGGCGCAGACCTCGTCTGGTAAATACACTGCAATGCGTTATCACCTCGAAACAGGGCACGAAATAGCGCCCTCCTATCAACTGCAGCCAGATCCCGGAAAAGGATCAGGCCAGCGCCACCAACCTATATCACCTCACCTATCGCATTCCACGCGAGATGCTCTTTGTTTGAGCCTTCCCGCCTATATCTCCCACACTACAGATCCACTCGACCCGTTGCACAGCCCGCACGGCTCCACGCTGTCGCACGTCCATTGAACATTCAAAGCATTTCATGTTTGGGCAAGACTGAAGTGTTTATTTGCTTGATTCTCAGACCTCACATGGTATTCGTATGATATGCAGAGACTCCAGATCCGATCAACCTCCCCACAAGTGATCATGAACGCCTGAATTTTGGGATCGAGTCCTGCACCTATCTTCATGAACTCATGGGTACTTCATATCCTAACCTACATCTACGCCAGCGTCACGCTTAGTGAGCAATGGCGTACGCCCTGCGGCGGTCACGCTCCTCAGCAATGGAGAGCTTGACACCCTTACCCTTGGGCAGAGAGATCCATGGCTTCTCCTTTCCGATGATGCTGAACATATGTTAGTAATTGTTCTCGTTTCTGTGCGGGTATCCAACTTACATGACGTTGGACTCACGAGTGGTGAACTCGTTGTCAACAGCGTCCTTCAAGTGGACAATGTTGAAGCCTCCGTCGTGGCGCTCACGGTGAGTGATGACACCGACACGACCCATGTTACGACCACCGGTAACCATGACAATGACACCAGTGTCGAACTTGATGAAGTCGGAGATCTTGCCAGTGGCGAGGTCGACCTTGACGGTGTCGTTGACCTTGATGGCTGGGTCGGGGTAGCGGATTCTACACAAAATTTTAGCAGCAATTCGGACATAGCCAGACCCTGGTCGTATGCCTGGTGAAAGAGGTTTCCCTCAGACACCTAGCCCAAACTGTGGTCCAACGGCTGATAGAGCGGGAACTTACGTTCGCGCATCGTGCGTAACCAAGTAGGGAATTCCGCCCTTGCCAAGCTGGACGCGCTTGACCTTGCCGAGCTTGTATTGTGCCTCCTCATCTGTTATCCTGTGGACGGTGAAGCGGCCCTTGGTGTCGTAGATCAGGCGGAAGTTCTCGCCGGTCTTCTCGATGGAGATGACGTCCATCAGTCCCGAGGGGAAGGTGGAGTCGGTGCGGACCTTGCCGTCAACCTTGACGAGGCGCTGCATGAGAATGGCGTTGACCTCGCGGGCGTTGAGCGCATACTTCAAGCGGTTGCGGAGGAAGATGATGAGGGGAAGGGAGTCGCGGAGCTTGTGAGGACCGGGGGAGGCCTTGGGAGCATAGGCACCTGGAAGATGTCAGTTCTGAAGTCGCGATAGCCATTGCATCGCAAATTGCGGGAGTAGAGCGTACCGGACAGCTTGTCCAGGAGCCAGTGCGAGGGCGCGCTGAGGCGCTTCTGGTGCTTGACGGGTCCACGGGCCATTGTGACGGTTCTGTGAGGTTAGTCGTTGAGATTGGAGGTCCTGTCGAAAGCGAAGTTCGAGAGACTGGAGTCCTCATTTTTCGTCTGCCACTAGCGTGTGCCGTAGCCGAGGACTAGCGCGCCAAGCCAGTCCTGGAGTGCTCCGATGCCCCATCTCAAGCGAGGGGAACTCAACATCTTAGAGCCCAGGCGCCTACTTTCACGTCCCATTTTCTGTTCAGTTTGTTTTATCATAGGATGAAAGATGCAAATTTGAAATCCTTGCGTCAATGTAGGATTCAGGGTGTGGCCATGCGCTACTCATCGCGGATCAGAACAACACCATGGAGTTTTCTCACATCACGATCAACGAGCACTTAGTCACCAGACCGTCTCTAGACTCCAAATGTGTGCAATTGATTATTTTCTTGCATCTGAGTTGTATCCCAGTTCTCAACCCTAAGCATACCCCTTCAGCACCGCCGCCTCTGCGTTCAATATCGACGATCCCGCCGCTCCAATGACAGCTGCAACTAGTTAGCATTCGCCCAACCCCTCGCAATCGCAAGTCAAACTTACTGTTGTGGCTCAAAGCAACGAACTTGAGATCGAAGATACCCGCCTCATCCTCTCTTATTCTACCCACGCTAACAGCGTATCCCCTATCCGTCTCCCTGTCCAGCCTTGGTTGTGGTCTATCGGCCTCCTCCATAACCACAATTGCCTTCGCAGGCGCAGACGGGCAACCCAGCTTCTGTGCATCAGACACGTACTCGCGCATTGCCTGCTTGACTTCTTCCGCGCTGGGTGGCGGACGGCGTTGGAAGCGTAGCGATACGCATGCGGTGTGTCCGTCTAGTACTGGCACGCGGTTGCATGCTGCGGACACCTTCATGGGCTGATCTACGAATCCTGTGATGTCGTCGTTGACGCTACCCAGGATCTTGGATGCTTCTGTCTCGAGCTTGTCTTCCTCGCCTGATATGAAAGGCACTACGTTGTCGATGATGTCCATGCTGCTGACACCGGGGTAGCCAGCGCCCGACACGGCCTGCATTGTGACGACCGAGACTTGGTCTATGGGACCGAACTTGGCTTGGAGCGCTGCGAAGGGTATGACGAGACCGATGACTGCGCAGTTGGAGTTGCAGACAAGGAAACCCTTCTCCAGCTTGTGGTGTTGCCGTTGGTGCTTGATGACATCGAGATGGGGGAGGTTTACGGTGGGTACGACGAGCGGCACGAGAGGATCGCGGCGGTAGTTCTTTGCGTTGGAGAAGACGGCGAGTTCGGACTTGAGGAAGGCCATCTCTGTTATGTGTCAGTATTCACTATCGCGACCTGGAGTGAACTGCGTACCAACATCTCCAGCAACATCGCTGTCGAGACCAGAGAAGACCATGTCGCAGTCCTTGAACTCTTCAGGTGTGCACTTCTTCACCACCAGCTCTCCAATGCGCTCCGAGAAAGGCAGCGCCTGCTTCCACTTGACCGCATCTTTGTATTTCTTGCCGGCTGATCGCTCAGAGGCTCCAACGGCGTGTAGCTCGAAGTGTGGGTGTAGCGCAAGAAGGAGGATGAAGCGTTGGCCGACGGAGCCAGTCGCGCCGAGCACACCTGTAACGGAGTCAGTCGGCTATTTCCAACCAGAGATGGTCTACACACCGCACTTCTTCTTGGGGAAGTTTTTGTTATGAGATGTAAACTTTTCAGCGTCCATTGTGGTGGTGGTTGGTATTGCAAGATTGAGTCAATCGAGTTCACAAAGTTCTGGCTAGGTATGACGCGGGGGTGGGGTGGAAAACGCGACACCAGCCGATCACGGAGGTCTTGCACGCGCTCATTTGCCGACTGTCTTGCCATGAACAACACTTTTTTATTACCAGACGAAACCAACACTAAACGATGGAGCGGTAAGAAATCTAAATATGCTCTTTGCAGATGCACCGATAATCAAGCGTCCTCCAATGCGTGTTCGTCGAGGAACTTCAGACGATGCGCCATCTCGACATGCAATGCTACGCCTGAGCGTCCATGATCTTTCCTGGGTTCATGAGCCAATACGGATCCAGTGCGCCCTTGATGCTTCTCATCACATTGATAGTGTCGAGACCGAGTTCTTTCTGCAACGATTCTTTCTTGCCCAGCCCAATGCCGTGCTCGCCGGTACATGTGCCATCCATCTCTAGCGCGCGGTCGACCATGTCATGAACGCACTTCTCGACAGCCGCTCGCTCTTTGGGATCTTTGCTGTTGTACATAATACTTTCGTGGAAGTTGCCGTCTCCGATATGACCTAGAATGCTGGCGAAGAGACCGAGGTCATCCATCTCTTTCTTTGAGATTTCTTTCAACAATTAGTTGGCAACCTCCGGAAACCTTGTATTCGCTTACATACCTATAATGTCTGGGAGCCTGGAGATCGGCACGGCGACATCTGTTGACCAAACTTCGTCGCCTTCGCGACGGAGCGCCAACATGCTCCATAGGGACTCCTTGCGCGCAGACCAAAGCGTTTTCTGCTCCTCAGCGCTGACGGCGAATTCGAAGTCCCCGCTCTTGTGTTTCCTGGAAATGGACTTGACCAGCTCAATGTTCTCCTGTACCTATATGCAGTCAGTTCCGCTCTAGGTAATTGCAGGACGCGTAGGGCTGACGTACCCCTGCTTTGGTTCCCGAAAATCTGTTTGAGGCTCTTAGTTCGTGCTTTCACATGTCAAGGGATGTTCTGGAAACTTACTTGAAGAACATGGTCGGCAATTCTTTCCACTTTTTGGTCGTTGATCCGGCTTTGTTGATTACACCCATCTGCACGTCATCCATTATCTCCATCGCAGCCACCGGCACTCCGGCGCGCAACACCTTGGAAGCAGCGGCAGCAGCATCCCGTATCGTGGGAAAGGTGACGACTGCGACGCTGGTCTCTTGTGGTACTACTGCGAGTTTCAAAGTGATCTCAGTCACGATACCCAGGGTGCCTTCGGAGCCAACGAAGAGGTTGGTAAGATTGTAACCGGCCGATGACTTCCTGGAAATAGTCAGTCTATCGTACATTCCGACACGGAAACAATTTGCATACCTGGGCCTTCTTCTGGTCTTGATGATCGTGCCATCGGCAAGGACTACAGTCAGATTGATGACCCAATCCTTCATCGTGCCGTATCGCACTGCGTTGGTGCCACTAGGAGGGTCAGCTGTTGGACCACGTCACTGACCATCATAGACCTTACCTGCAGCTCGTACCCACCATACCTCCAATTCGGGCCTGCCACGCCCGTTAGAATGAATTCGGAGTTCCGCATCGGGGTTTCCGAGGGTTGATTGCAAAGTTGTGTAACACATGACAACGTACCGATGGGCCAGGGTCGACTGGGAAAAATAACCCCGAGTCTTTGATCTGATCATTGAGACTCATCCATGGGACAGAAGGCTGAACCACTACGTCCATACTACGCATCACTGTCAGCGTCGCCATTCTTGCATGCTAAACGTATAATTAACTCACTCATCTTCGTGCAAGGCCAGGATCTGATCCATGAACGAGAAGTCAATGCTCATGCCACCGAATGGAGCCGAGAAGTTGGCTTCCAAACTTGATCCCCCCGAATATGGGACTGCGCGCTGTCAACACTCATCTCTCCATGCGTCTTATTGAACGTACTCATCGGTATCTTGTACTTGTAGCAGACCTTGGCGATCGTTGCACATTCCTCAGTGGACTTCGGATACGCCACCGCAACGGGAAGTTGGTCGATGTTGATAGACGACCATTCCGAATATCCGTGTCGGTGCAAATCCTCGTCGTCGGTACTAATGGTGTCTTCCCCAAGAACATCCCTGAGCTCTAAAATCGCCTGTAATGACCTAAGTATCTGGTGGATGCGAAGGAACTTTATGGTTGCAAGCTTACCCTCTCCATCTCGTATTTGTTCGCATATTGGGGCCCTGATGACTTTTTCCATGGCATCTGAATTCTGTGCGGTTCGTCATTGGCGCCGTAGAAGTATGTGGTCGTTCCGGTAACTGCAGAAAATAGCAAGGCCCGTCCTGAGTTCCAGAATGGCCTTTGAAGTTGCTCGGATTTGAAGGTCTGCTCGCGACCAGTGCGTGCTCGGGCGCCACCTCGCTTGAAGATGGGTGAGGTTATTTGCCTCAGTCGCGCCGTTGGCTGGCGGAACATGACGAAATCGATAACGAAGAAGGGAAAATGAAGTTGCAATCAGTTGTTGGGATGCTGGGAAGGACTAGAAGTGGAATCCACTTTCGCTGACTATGGGTCAGGGCGCATTTAGCGAACTAGTATGACAGAAGAGTGGAGGAGAAGATGGTTGCAAGGCTGGCCTACGCATTTTGTGGATCTAGAAGCCGAACGGCAAGCACAGTAAGAGCGGGGAGAGGTTATTTCAGTCTAAACGCAGTTGGCGCGATAGTTCTTTCGGGTATCGCTTTGAGCGTCGTTGGCCAGCGCACAGGTAAAGTCGCAATACACGTCCTAAAAGTCGTGGGATGGACCAGTGATAGCGTGGGAGGCTGACGAGATTCCCGATTTTCTGTATCAAATTTTTCGGCTCACGCATCAAATGAAGTCGTGCATGATCACCTGCAAGGGGCTTGGACACACGCAAGGCAATTGCGGGGAAGACCAGGGCAACGACAAGCAAATGTGTTGGTTCGAGACGCATCGTGGCGACAGGTGACGCTGGATGACATTCCGAGCGAGATGCCGTCGCGTGACGAGGCGTTCGCTAGGGCCCCGAGCGGCTGCAGACGAGGACCGAAGATGTGGATCTGGAACTCTGCAGACGACCATGATACGCTGCTGCCATGTATGTTTTCTTTTCGAGAGCGAGACAAGTGGCAGAAGAGGCGCCTGTCAGGGACAATCTTCTACCTCGATGTCTGATGCCCATGGCTGAGGCTCAAAAACAGAAGCTTGGGGGGCTTGGGGAGAAGCTGAGCGGCAGACTTGCCCTTGGCGATTGGACGACGGTGATCCCATTACCTCACGAAACTTGCTCCTCTCGTCTGTGCAGCTCAGATGCTGGCTGACAATCGAGCGAGTGGGGGAACAAGCTGCACATGAGCGTTTGCCGTACCCCACGCGCGATCTTCAGGCGTCTGCTTGTCGGTGAAGCCAGAAAGCCGGAGGAGGCCGGTGGATGCCGCGGTAACGGCTATGGTGCCAGGCAGACGACTACTCCCATATAGTACTGAAGCGGGATACCGTATACGGCTCCCATGAGCAATGTGATGGAACGCCATTAAGCTCGAGACTGCAAAGGAACTGCCAAAAGCAAAGACGACGCGTAGAGTCTATTACCACCAATGGGAGGTAACGTGTGAGCGGAGAATAGAAAGAGCCCCGCAATGCCTGCGGGCTAGCAATGCTGCGCCCAGCAGCTGTACGATCTATAGATGGCTGACGTCAACAGGCAAACATGTGGAGTGCGAGCAGGAGCAGGGAGTGGAGTGTGAGATGTTGGCGCAGGATGCATGGTCGCGTGCATTGATGCCAATGGGGAAGTCGGCGATCCCGGCGCGTCTTTTCGGCCGTCGCCAGAGGAACGCGACATCAAACAAGTTCGCGTCACAAGTCCACGCATAACGAACATTCGGCCCAACTCCGAACATAACTCGATCCAGCAGACATGGCGGATATCAGCGCAGAGTTGACGTCGGAACTGACAAGGATCATCGAGTGTCCATACCCCCCTTCGCTATCCGTACGTATTTGCCCCTCATCTTCCCCAACTCCAATGCATCCTCATGTCGTGCCACTAGCCAACTCCCGTATTTGAGCACATGACTCGCTGCATGAGCATCCCATCGTTGATGAGATGAGCTGACGCGAGATCCCACAGAACCTATCCGATCTTTTGGCGCGCGTCGACGTACCGACTATCCGATCATGCGTCCAAGACCGGTCACCTTGCGCGGTGAGGAAACTAGGCAGGATTGTCCACGATGCACTGTCCCTGAACGCATACACGCTTCGTGTGCTGCACCTATTGTGTAAGCAGTTGACCGGTCTCCGCTTGATAGTAGAAACGCAATCAAACTGACTACGTGTTCCCAGGTCATGCGCCAGAATTTCGAGATGAGCTACTGGTCCTGGAGCCGTCCCTACTCCCTTCTCTGTTGAAGAGGGCAAATTCATCAAAGTCCGAATTCGAACATGTGAGTACGACAATTGTAAGGTACATCACTTACTAACAATGATCTAGCTTGCCGAGCTATGCGTGCTTCTTCTTTCTCGCCCACTGCCCGAGGCAATACCATTACCCGCCGTAGCACAAAACTTCTTTCTTAATGTCTTCGAAAACGCCACACAGCAACCAAACTACGAGATCCTGAAGTCAGTGTACCGTATGCTCAACGGTGCATGTCGACGACTTTACAGCCTTCTTCCCAGAGATCTGAGGCAGCGGTTCGACACAGAGTTGTGCAATATACTCAGATCCCCGAAAGTCGCCGATTCCTCTTTGCTGTTTTTATGGGCAGAAGGTATAGTGCTCATCACGGAACATCCCGAGGGAGTCGACGGACTGCAAAATCTGCCTGCTGACGAGGAGCCGACATCCACCGAAAGGCTAAGACAACATTGGGCAACACCTTCAGGCCAAAAGCTGTTCGGCTCGACAAGCTACTTATACAAGACTATTGAGCTCACTTGTTTGAACGTAGTGTGGATTCTTCGAGGCGGAATCAAGGAAAATGAAGCAATCGAAGGCCTACGTATTGCCTCGAGGGCTATGCAATTCATTGGCCAAGACGTGAAGGACAATTGGCCTCAAGTTCAGAAGAAGTATGCCATGCTGTACGAAAAGTGCGCCTCCAAAATCCAAAACTCCAATGCGAGTCTATCCGTCCAATTAGAGGCCCTGTCATTCTTTGGCATACTTTCAAGTTCTCGGAGCTTGCCGCAAGGTATCGTCGGACGCTACGAGGCATGCATATTGGAAGCTCCTCGCGTGGCAGAGCCTGAAGGCTTTGCCGAGCTTCTTGCAGTCTCACTGCCAATCTACGCAGTAAGCAATTTATTTTGTAGTACTGGCTGATTCACTAACCAGGACAGGTGCAGATGCAGGAAAGCACCGTCGTGGCACTCTTATCAGGCATTTTATCAGCATGTGCTTCGCAGCCTGACTCCCGCGAAACTTCCAACTCCATCGACACCATCGATGAGCTGGCTACAGCCGCGATGGCGACTGTTGCTTTACGAACCACTGTGCTGCGCGCACTGTCATCGAGGGCCTTGCAAGAGAAAATCCAGAACCTCATTCGCGCTGGTGTGACGAAAGAAGGCCCCGGCTGCTGTACACATGCTGCATTATTACGTCGGCAATTGATCGCTGCCACAATCGCTTCATTACTTACCATTGTTCTTATGGCACAACCGGGAGAGTCGACGATACCGCATACCCTCGTGGCTGCGCTTATCAAGAAACAGCGAGACCTTCCCCCCGCGCTAGATACTTGCTCACACTCGTCGAAAAGCCCCACTCAGCCTTCAATCTCCCTCTTCCAAGAAGCGAGCACGCAGTACACGGGCCAGCATCTCCAGGATTGGCGCAAACGCCTCGAATTGGAGCTACAAAGCCAGAACAAACATCAGCGAGATGCCGTTGTGCGCTCTATGGCACAAATATGCAGTGATCTCGAGACACGTTGCAATACAGTCGAAGAGCCGCTAAGGGTGGAGACAGAGAAGTCCGTCAAACTCCAGGAACAGATCGCTCACCTAAACGAAAAGATCTCCCTTCTCAATGAGCAAAACGATTTTCTACACAAGGATAGAGAAGAATCCGTGGAATACGTGGAGGGTTTGGAGAAGGAACTGCAGGACTCCATAGACGAGCAAAAGCGTCTGGAGCAAGAGAAGTCCGACTTGTTGGAAGAGAAGGGTCGAACATGCCTCAAGGTACAAGAACTAGAGACGTCCCTGGAAGCTTCTGAGCGGAATGCGTCCGAGGCTCTGGAGGCCGCTCACGAAAGGACTAGCGCAAAAGAGCATGAACTCTGCTCGACGATAAGCCAGTACGAGGAGGACAAGCGCGTCCGCGATGAACAATTTGAGGAGCTGCACGGTACGATTCAACAGCTAAGAGCATCTCAAGTGCAGCACGAGGGTGAATATCGCAGCCTCACTATACAGTTTGAGGAGCAGCAGAGACGCGGCTGTGAAGCAGAGGACGCACTTGAACGGGAGCGGGCGAACGCTGCCCGCCAAGCCGACGAGATCGCACAACTCGAGACGCAAGCGTCAGAATACCGGCAAGACTTGGAAGGGAAGGAAGCGGAACTGGAGGATGCCATTCGACAGCTTCATATCGCGCGAACCAGTCACCAGGAGTTCAAAGAGTCATCGGCTGAAACGATGAGAGAGCTCGCGGCGAAGCAGGCTAACGAACTGGAGGCTATCACCACTAAGGCTGAAGAGCGATGCGAGACGCTCGAATCGCGACTGCTAGATGCTCAGCGCAACGCTCAAGAGGAACAACGTGATCACGCGAAGACGCGTAACAATCTTCAGCGTCTTCAAGCATCAATACCACCACTAGAAGCGAGGATCCAAGAGCTCGAGGAGTTTTGCAGAGAACAAGAAGAAGAACTTGAAGAATTCAGGACGGCTCGCAAAATGATGGCGATGCATCTGCTGCCCGCTCGGCCAGCCTCACGGACCTACAAGGAGATTGCTCAGCCTCAAACGACAAGAGAGCCGCGAACTCACCGACGACGTAAGTCGGCCATTAACACCCAAGAGGATGAATCAGTCGCCACGGTGAATGTCCAAGCATTACCTAGCAGAGCTCTGGGAAACTCTACAAATGCGTCCTTCGCCTCATCAGCAGATTCGAATTCGTCCCAGGGTAACAACGGGCCAGCACCAAAGCGTGCGAAGCCAAGACCAGCTTTCAAGGTGCCAACGATGCAAACGCCAAATATGCAGAAGCCCAACATCGTGCCCAAGTCACTCTCACACTCACATCAGCTGTCGCCGACGAAGCGTTCAGCCCTGAGACCAGTCTCGCCGAACCGCCGCCACACGACTGTCGGGTTCACATTGCCAGGTAGCGAGGAAGAAGACGGCGCAACTGAGATTGAATCAGTGAGGAAACGTAGAGGCAGCCTTCAAGACATTGAGCAAGTAGATTTTGACATCGACGATGATTTCACGACTGGCACACCACTTACCCCGGGCTTTATGTCTGGCACTGGCCGGATTCCGGACGAAGGCGACGAGACCATGACTGAGTTGTGAGTACGAAAGCATGATTTACGGTAGCATTTCGGGAGAGTAGGATAGCTGCTATTTGTTTCACATCGGGCGTACGAAGGCTTTGCGCATTTGGTACGGGTACCTGCATGCATGGCGCAGGGGGCATTTGATGAATTTGAAGATACCCAATGGCGTATTCTCACTTTGTGTCTTGAATCTACCTTTACCTGCTGTTGGTTTTACCGCATGGCTAGTGTCCTTCTGTTTGCTGGACTTGCCGTTCTCTCAGCCTCTTTACTTGACGTCTTCTTTGCTCTCTATATCTCACGGCTACCTGCATCTCTCGAGCGTCTCTTAGTCGATCGTCGTCATATCAGCCATAAATTCTCATCTTCTCACGCTGCTCTCCGTTTGCGCCTTCCCATCTGAGCACAGGCACGCATTCGAGTAAGGGCAGACCCCGCGCCTTCCTCACACGATTAGTCCTCCACCACTTTCCATCTATCTACCTGCATCTACAGTCTGCCACACTCATCTCGTTCTTCTAGAGCTTATTCTCGACTGCTTCGAGGTCCAGCTTCCAGATTCTCAGCTCGAAGTTAGCACATAAAACGTCAGGCACGGGTGTCTCGACTCGCTCCTGCCGAATCCAGAGCGCCTCTAGGCAAACGGCTGTTTGACTGCCCAAATCGAGCAAACAAAATTCTCCATCCTCCATCCTCCCACTCCAATTACCCCACACAGGTACGGCCAGCACATCCAAGCAGAGCCTCTGGTCAGCCGCTTCGGCACCGCTACATTGCCCTTTCCTGAAGCAGCGGTCACCTCCGATTAGCCAGCCGTCCCCGCGCCACCACCGCTACCCCATCGTCATTCCCCAAAGATTGGCGTGAGGGTAAGTACGTTCACAAACAAACATGGACCGCTACCTTCATGACCCAGATCCCATGGGCTCAACTACTCCTGCTTTCAACACCAGCACCCCCACATCATCACGATCGTACACGCTGAACCGAGAACCAGTTCAGCACAGTGAGCAGAAATCTGAGACCAGCTCCAATAGTGAGAAATCCTTCGGCAGCCGCAACATGTATCGCGGTAATCAACGCGGTGGTCGTGGCGAAAATCGTGGTGGTAGAGGTGGCAACCGCACATACTCTGGCAGTTCCGGTAGCTCTAACGACCAGTACAACCCCAACCGACCAACTCTCAAGCCCGCTTCGGCATCCCAGTCCTCTCAAGCTCCACGCACTCTCATGACAACTATGGAGCAGGTCCCAGCCCGCGTAGACCCACCAGTTACCCCGGTCAAACAGCTCTCATCCTTCGACTTGAACGGCAACAGCATCAACGAGACCTACATTGCCAGATCCAGTACCACCCCGACACTATCTCCGGCAAAATCATCGATCATAAGCCCACCAAGACAGGCCACTCGAGCGTCTCCTCAACATGGAGGTAATCGCCCGCGCTACAACTCAGCTGGTCAGCCTAGTTCACAGAGGTCAATCTTGAGGAATGAAGCCCAGCATTGGGCCCATCGCCAGGAGGTCAAGATCAAGTTGTCAGGTATACCCAAGAGCTACTGGACGAAAGACGTGTATGACGCATTGTCGTCATTTGGTTCTCTCTTCAGGATTGAGATGGTCACTGGCACCCGAGACAACTCCGCTTTCGTGGTATTTCGGTGAGTATTGTTTCCGTCCACACTTCATCATTCTAACCTCATTCTTATAGACCTCCCCCCGTCCATGCCTTTCCGCATCGGAACCTACGAATTGGCGGTGCTCTCCTAGGGATTGAAACACTCTCTCCACAAGTCAGGACCGTTCCGAGCCCAGCCAATCCCGCAAAAGAATACTACGAATTCAACGTCCTACCTGTGCAAGGCATAGACTTCGGCGTCAACGTGGCAGACAAGACTATGATTGCCATGCATACCTTGCGTTCACCGGGCAGTATTTACATGACGCTGAACCTGATTCGCAAAGAGCTTGACGTTCAGTTCTCGGTCGATATCGACAACGAGATGCGCAAGGTTCGCTTTGCTTTGCCAATTGCTCTACTCTCCCATATATACAAGGTCACCGACACAGTCAGCGATCAGCAGGCTTTGATCATTCCGTTCAACTCACCACCGCAATTCTACATGCAGCGACGTGAGGGTGAGAACCTGGAGGACGGGAGGAAATTCTATACATTTTCTATGAAAGAGAAGGCGTGGTATGACTGGAGCACCTGGTTCCGAGCGACCGATATCATCAGCAACACTGTCAAGAGCAAGCTCCAAGGCTCACCGTTGATGAACCATAAGGATACCGCTATCATCGACATTGGTAAGTTGCCCATACACTTTCATCACGGATCACTCAGCTAACTAATTCAGGCCGATGGACGAGTTATCGCATGATCTTCGACGCGAAAGTGACGACTGGACCCAAGTTCAAGGACTTCAGCGATGCTCTTACCGACCATGGCGTCGCCATTGAGAACCTGGACGAGTACACGATCCAAGACATGGCCCCATCGCCTCTATGGTCACTGCTACAAGAAGAGATATCTGGCACACATCCACATCTTGAGTCAACACCCTCAAAGGGCTCGGTCTTCGAAGATCTCTTCGCTGGCCAGTTTCATCTGAGCTTTCCAGTCCGGTACCAACTCGAGGCGTGCTTATCGAACGGCTACTTGAAGGAACACAACATCACGAGCGACTTCTTAGAGAAGCTCACAGCCATGGAACCTCGCCGTGCCGTCTATATCCTGGAGAAAGTCGTCGACAAACAGCATGTTTACTATAACCCAATGAAGATATTCGGCATCCGGATCAAGGATCTCGTGAAGAAAGTCCCTAGCTACTGTGTCCTTCAGCGATCGGTGGTAATCACCCCAACCATGATGCATGTAGCATCGCCTAACATGGAGACCTCGAACCGCATCATCCGCAAGCACGCCGCTGACGGCGATCGTTTCATCCGAGTCAAGTTCTCCGATGAGAAGACAGAAGGTCAACTGCGCAATATGCCCAACGGAAGGGCTGAAGCTGCATTCGACAGAGTGCGCCGTGCTATGAAGCATGGCATTGTCGTTGCAGGGCGATATTATGAGTTCTTAGCATTTGGAAACTCACAATTCCGCGAGCATGGCGCATACTTCTACGCGCCTACTTCTTCCAAGTCCGCCGACGACATCCGCATTTCACTGGGCAACTTCGATCACATCAAGACCGTCGCCAAATTCGGTGCCCGTCTCGGTCAATGCTTTTCAACCACTCGCGCAATGCGGGATAACGTCAAGGTTATAACGATTCCCGACATTATACGTAACAACTATACATTCACAGACGGTGTTGGTAAGATCTCACAGTTCCTAGCCCAGATGGCTGCCCAGGAACTCGGGCTTACCCGCGCCTTCGATAACCCCCCGTCTCTATTCCAATTTCGCCTTGGCGGCTGCAAGGGTGTGCTTGCCCTGGATCCAAAGATCACTGGTCCTGAGGTTCATATAAGGCCCAGCCAGATGAAATTCGTGGCACCTTACACCGGTCTGGAGATTATCCGGTCCTCATCTCTTGCCACACCATTCTTCAACCGTCAGATCATCATGGTCTTGTCGTACCTTGGTGTACCCGATTCTGTGGTGATCAGGAAGCAACAGGAAATGATAAACGATTACGAAACCGCAATGGTAGATGACGGTGTTGCCTTGCAAAAGCTTCGGAAACACATCGACATGAACCAGACTACATTAACGATAGCAGGAATGGTCCTCGATGGCTTTATGAAGTCTCAAGATCCGTTCGTCATGTCTCTCCTCAAGCTTTGGAGGGCTTGCACCATCAAGAACCTCAAGGAGAAGGCTCGGATAGCCATCGATGACGGCGCATTCGTACTCGGTTGCGTCGACGAAACAGCAACACTCCAAGGCCATATGAACGACCTCCAGCTTGATGCTACGAATGTAGAGAAGCTTGCCACACTCCCCGAGATCTTCCTGCAAGTCGATGATACGAGCAGGAAAGGACACTACAAAATTATCCAAGGAGTGTGTGTTCTGGCACGAAACCCGTCACTTCACCCGGGAGACCTACGAGTCGTTCGCGCAGTGGATGTACCAGGATTGCATCATCTGAAGAACGTCGTCGTGCTACCACAGCACGGCGATAGGGATCTTGCCAATATGTGCTCTGGCGGTGATCTCGATGGGGACGACTACATGGTACTGTGGGATCCAGATCTGATACCCCAGACCGTCAATATGCCTGCCATGGACTTCACAGCCGAGAAGCCGGTTGAGACCGACGATCCCATTACGGCCGCGCACATTGGCGAATTCTTCGTCAGTTATATGAAGAATGATACCCTTGGCCAAATTGCGCATGCCCATCTTGCCCACGCGGATCTACAAGCCGATGGCATCAACGATGACAAGTGCCTCGCTTTGGCGGAATTACACTCCAAAGCCGTCGACTTTCCCAAGAGCGGGTTGCCAGCCGAGATGGCGCGGGAACTGAGACCGCATAAGTACCCACATTTCATGGAGAAGAAACATCTCCCAGAGAACAAGGTCTATCATTCAAGAAAGGTCCTGGGCATTCTCTACGACCAAGTGCAGTTGGTGGATTTCAAGGTAAGCCGCGACAGTACGAAATGCATGAGAGACATACGCTGACTTCGCATCTTCATCTTTGTAGCCTCAATGGGAAAACTCGTTCGATAAGCGCGTTCTGGATGCTTTTGAGCTCGGCGATGAGACTCTGGTCAAAGCCGCGGGACTCAAGGCGTCGTACGATGAATCTTTGCGGCGATTGATGGCCAAGCATGGAATCCAGACAGAATTCGAGGCCTGGTCTGTCTTTGTGCTAGTACATAATCATGAGGTAAGTTCTGACTGCATGAGATGCATGAGGCATACTGACAATGCACCCTTTCAGAGCCGCGATTACAAATTCGCAGAAGAATTTGGAAGGACTATCGGTGCCTTCAAATCACAGTACAAGGATGAATGCCGAGCAGCAGCAGAAGACAACCTGGAGAAGTTTGTCGCCGCGATGTATATGGTGACTGCAAAAGAGATGGGGACTGCATTGGCCGAATGCCGTATGAAGAAGACAGTTGGTGGTAGGGGCGTTCCGGTGCGACCTATGGAACCGGAGCACATGCCCTTGATCTCATTCCCGTGGCTCTTCCCAAACGAATTGGGGAAGATTGCGACCGGCGGCGCGATCATGCGACAGCTAGACGTCCAGCAGAACATCCCGACCCGACCCAAGAAGCACCCCGGATCTTCCACGCTGGCAGAAGTCGACACAGAGATTGGTGTTGTTGAGACCGAAGCAGGTATTACGCGTTACGGGGAGTTGTTGGATCTGGACTTCAGTCTATAAGGATGGACGGAGTGGTGCAGAAGACATGAGGATGATAAGGAGTACGATGAGGAAGCTTTCCAAAAAGTGTGGTTGAAGACTAAGATGGTAGTTTTGATGGCAAGGCAACATGCACAGCGGACCGAGAAGGATACGACGTGGGCCACAGCTGCAAAAAAGTTCGGCGGGTGTTTCTGGCTGGCGGCCTTACGATGGACTGGTTCGTTTTGAGGCTGAAGGTCATGCGGGAGTTGTTCGATATCAAAAGTAGAGAAAACCACGAAAGCAACGAAAAACACGTAGAAAATAGAAAACTGAAACAAGCTTCTTGACATTGGCGGTGATATCCGAAGAACGAGCTGTGATGACTACGATGGCTGGTATCGATAAGCTGCACACTACGCGCAACTCATAATTTCCACTTGGTGTCCGCGTCACAATGCCACCCTCGACGCGTATCCCAGCGCTCCTCCAACCCTACGTCCAGCTACCGAGCGACTCGATCCTCCTGCTCACGAGCACCCTCGGCGCGAGCGCGAACTGGCTGCTCATTCGCTTCCTCTGCAATGAGCTGAGCACACAAGATGGCGGGGACGAGGGGCACAACGTCGTCCTCGTCTCTTGGATGAGAGAATATGACTTCTGGAAACAAGAGGCTCGAAAGGGCGCAGCGCTTGATCTGGACAAGCTGAGGAGAGAGGGACGCTTCGCCTTTGTGGACGGACTGGGTGCTGGTGGAAATGCGCCAGACAGTACAGCAGAGAGACCATCGCGAACCGATGCGCAAGCAACACCACGAGTCCCGGTATCGAATGCGACACCACAGAGAGGGCCACAGATATTGCCTGCGCGAGGACCGCCTGGACGGATAGTGCCTGCGAGAGGGCCACCTCCAGCAGTCCCAGCGGCAGCCCCAGCTTCACCACCAGCTACGAGTACCGCGAACGGCCCGGCGAGTACAAACCAAAGCGTCCCCGGTCACTATACGCTCAAGAGCCTCGAGATCGCAGACATCAAGTCTACCATCTCCAGCGCCATCTCCCCACTCGCTACGTCCACCGCTCGAAAGACGCTCCTCATCTTCGACAACCCCGATCTCCTCCTCGCACTCAACCCAACCATCACGCCTTCCCACTTCACCACCCTCATGCTGCAGCTCCACACGCTACCGAACGTAACCCATATCCTCACGCACCTACAAGCCGACACTCCACTCCTCAGCCTCTCCACACCCCCACAGCCGCTCGAAGTGGCGCATCATAACTTGGTTGTCAAATGCGCACACATGAGCAGGAGGATACTGGGTGTCAGAGTATTAGACACTGGCGTTGCGAGGGATGTGAGCGGTGTGATACGCATTACTGAGCAGAGAAAACAATGGTTCGATGTTGGCTTTGGCATTGAAGCTAACAAGGATGACGACGACAGTGGAAGAGGCAAGGAGTTCTTGTATCAGGTCAAGAGCGACGGCAGCGTAAGGGTGTTTGAGCGAGGTGCTGGCGGAGAGGGCTGAGGTCTGCATCTCAAGCTTGACGAGCAATTCGTGCATCTGCACCCCTCGTTGACGCTGCAGGATCATCGCCTCTCTCCGCGGATGCAATGCGCAGGAAGGTGTATATATAGTCGTCTCGGCTACATAGTATGCTCCAAGCCACGCAATGGAAAAGACCCACACATGATCAATTCTTATCATCAGCTGTCGAATACCTCAGGCTAACTCCTACGTTACTGCAACAGAACTACGCGAGCCTCGCAGAACGCCGCATCTTGTGCAAGTCTGCATGTCTGCATGCAGCGACCGACGAATACAGACGCGGCTCCTGATATCACCCGCCGCCCCCCCGGCCCCGAATCCTCCTACCTGGGCACCCAATCCTCCGCGCGCGATCATCGGCGAGCGACTGACCAACGGTGCACCGGCGACTCCGAACTTTGCGCTGCCATGCAATCAATACAACACAACTATTATGATCCTGCTGCAGTGATACCGCCACGCCGCCCGCGAGGCCCATGCCATCACACACTTATGCCTTGTGACGACGAACAACAAACTCGATACGAATTCCGCAGTTCATCCCCAACAACAGCGCATGCGGCTATATACAAATATGCAGCCAGATCCTTCGCACTGCACGCTCTCTATAACTAGAAAGGTTGACGATGTTCAAAGCGGGCTACCCTTACCTAACCGATGCCATTCCGTCAGGGTGGTTTTGGGGGCGCCTTACACAGCAGCATGCGGCACAGTTGCCTCGTCCAATCAGTCATGCTCGACGCCACGACGCGGCCTCCCGGGGTCAAACGTTTGCTTCAAACAAGGTGACAGGGACCATTCGGCGAGAAAGAATAAGCGCTGTGATGATGATGGGCAGGAAGGAAGGCAGAGGAGGAAGATGCCGCTTGTGTAAGACATGCGTGACGTGGAAGTATATATGGTTTAGAGTTTCGCTGCTGACTGCAATGGCACCGAGATGTCTGCCTGCTACTAAAATTTATCTATTCCCCAGCCTTGGACTTGAAGGATTGCATTATTCTCCTCAGCTTCAATTAGTCGACCTTACTTTACCTCGACTCCCACCGTATCAGACAAAACAACTCCAACAATGTCAACCCCCCACCTCCTCGACCTCCCCACAGAGATCCTCAACCACATACTCACCCCCCTACCCACATCCTCCCTGCTCCGCTTCTCAGAAACCTCCCGTCACGCCCGCGTCCTCGCCAACGCCAACCTGCACACCCTCTCGTTAGGGATCGCGCCCCTCGCTCCTGCCTTTTTCAAGTACCTCGACTCATCCGTCACCACCAGTACAGCCGATCCCTATGAAGTCTGGCTGCGCATCCCCCAGGCAAGAAGTTACGAGTACCTGACGTTGCATAACTTCCAGAGCGCGTTGGTGACCAGTATACTCAAGCGCCATGGCACCATGCTGCAGCATCTCAACATCAGCGTTTGGGCATTGACGTTGCCCATGGCGAAAGCTATTAAGGACTTACGCGCTCTCCGCACCTTCTCACTCAGAATCGAAAGCGGAGTAAGGTACGTACGCGGCATCCCGCGGTCGCGTATCGCTATCGAAAGAGAAGAGCAGGGTAAGGCTTGGGAGGTGCTTACAGAGAGTGCGGTTGAGTGGAGTGGGAGACTCACGGTAGTGAGGTTGGAGAATTGTGATGTGAGGGCTGAGCAGTTGGCTGTGCTGTTGAAAGAGACGAGGGGGTGTAAGGAGCTGGGGTTGAATCGGTGTCGGTATCTGGGGAAGGACATGTGGACTTCCATTGGCGAGTGGGAGGGAAGGGCGAAGTTGAAGATGTTGGATGTAGCGCAGTGTGGGGGGTTGCTTGGGAATGAGGCGAGTGAGGCGTTGGGGAGGTTGGATGGATTGCAGGTACGTTGCTTCGTATGTCTTTTGACGGCTGCTACTTGTATGCTAACACCAAAGCAGAGTCTCCATCTTTACGACTGTCAAGAGCAGCGACCTGGAGAATTTGAGCGTCTAAATGAGGAACTCTGGCATATCAAAGACTTTACAGCACCAGGACCTGGTGGTTACGGCGAGAACATGATCATCGAGGTGGATCCGGACTACATCTTCTGAGAATAGGAAGTCAAGGTGGAGCGTTAAGAGTAAAGTGTTTCAATTGTTTATATGAGCAAGCAAGGAATCGCAACGACGTCAGCGTCGAAGACCAATCGTTCCAGCTGCCACTATTTGTCTATATACGTATAATCTCTCGTATGGCACCACTCGGGTATAGCCCTCACTGATCGATCCATCTATTCAAGCATCCACTGCCCTGCCTATCCGTCGACAGGCTCATCAATCCCTGTATCCTAACCACCAATCCTACCACATAGTCCATCCTCAAAACTTCTCATACTGGCTGTAATCCATATCCGGGTGATGAAACGGACCGCGAATATAACCGGGAGGAGGAGGACCGAAAGAACTGCCCGACGATACGGAGCTCTGACTAGCTTCAACCCTGTGCTGAGCATCCTGGCTAGCGCGAGCGCGGAGGTACTCGCTGTACTCTGACACGCGCTGTTCCTTGATCTGCCACTGAGCAGCTGCCTTGAGCATCTCCTGGTGAGCAATGATATCTTCAATGGGCTGGTTGTAGTAGGCGGCCGTGTGCTCTTCGTAGTGGTGACCAGGGTGGATCTGGGCTTGGTGTTCGGGGGAGTGCTGCATCGATGCTTTGCCTGTGGAGTGGTACATGTTGTTGGTGTTGGGCTCGGCGCCGGTGGGCTTGGTGGCGTCTTCGGATCCGACGGGTGTGGCTTTGGTGGGGCGACTGACTTCGTAGTCGACGTCGCATATGGGAGCAGCCCTGCGTGCGTTGTTGCGGGCGTGACGTCGGGCAATGAGCTTCTCTTCAGCGGACTTGGCGGCGAGGGCCTCGCGCAGCGTCTTCATCTTGGCTTGGCGGCGCGACAGCCTGGCCTTGACGACAGCTTCTTCTTTCTCCAAGTCGAGCATGCGGCGGTACTTCGACTCCAAGTAAGCACCGATCATGGGCGGCGCCCAGTCCTGGACAAAGTTGAGCCCGAGGATTCCATTGTAGACATCAGAGCTGTAGAGCTGCGACAACTGCTCATGCGCCTCCTCTGCTTTCATGTTCTTTTCCTTGACTTGGTGGACCAATTCGTGTCGGAGCGACTCGAGCCTTGCTTCGCGGATCGCATCGTCGAGCGCTTTGCCGCATGATGGGTTGTTGAGGACGTTCCAGTACTCAGACAGACTGTTGTGAAGCTCGGCGATGCTGGGGCCGCCTTCGGAGATGTCCTCAGACGCAACGTTGAAGCCACTGTCGATGCGGAGGTTCAATAATTGATGCATCTCCTGCATGCGTGCGACGAGCGCATAGTATATGTCCTCGTAGTCGGCGAGGGGGCGGTCGGTGGCCTCTTCGTCCGCACGCTCGTAGATGCGTCCGTGAATGCGCTCTGCAGTGAGAAAGCCGTGAGGCAACAGGCTTGGACCGACCTGCTTCTTCTGCAGGCGGTCGAACAGAGTGCTGAGACTGGGGCTGTAGATGTCGAGTTCGGGCTTGCCGAAGAGGTTGCAGGTTCCCGCAAGGTTGATGAGGTAGTTACTGAGCTTGAGGATGTGCTCGACGATGTAGTCGATCGGGTAGGCTGTGGTTGCAGCTTCAACAGCCATCTGGCTGACCGCCACTGCGAAATCTGGGAGGAGAGTCTTTGGAGACATCTCAGGAGGTATCTTGGGTTGTGAAATGTAAAGTAAGAAGGTATGAGATGATCAAGGCGAGCTTGCTGGGGACGAGTTGGAAACGGAGAATCGTGTAAAGAGCTGAAGAGTTTGCAGTCCAAAGTACTCTCAGTATGCGATTAATATTAGCGAAAAGGTTGTAGGCTTGAAAAGCTGGAATTGAGGGGGCTGGGAGACGATTTGGTGAAGTGAAGGTGAAGGGACACCCGGAAGTGAGATATCCCGCCTCCCTCACTGTGCTGGTATTGTTCGTGCAGGACAGCTGAACAATAGACTTGAGCTTATTAAGGCGACACGGAAACGGCCCTGAAGGCTGCGATCGTGGGAACAAGGGTGCAGTGTTGCTTGTTGCTGGAGAGACGACCATTTCGTGCGCGCGACGTCATTGATGGCGGCGAAACGCTCCGCAGCAAGAGACGAATCGCACCACTTAGTACCATTGGTAGAAAAAAGATCATCTATTCCGTCTCATGAGCACCCTACTTGCCTTGGTCGGACGATGTTGTTGCCTGAAGGTGTGGGTGACCTAGATGATGATACTGGCGTCCCAACCAGGCATGCGCTGACTCACCCCATCATCTAGTCGTTTTTCAGGCTTTCAGGCTCCGTACCAATGACCTCGCGTCGAAGTTCCTTAGCCGGCGAGGCAGTTCATCTTGGATCCAATCCCGTCCGAAGAAGGCACCGCCAGCAAGTGCTCCTGCAGTAGCCAGCCAGAGGATAGTCTTGGTAGTACCCGGTCGAAATTCTTCGCCCGTCTTTTCGTTCCGATAAATGAAGTCACCCTTCTTCCAAAAGATGCTCCTGAGCCAATAGAGGAATTGCCAGTCGGGGTACATCACTGTCAGAATTAGCGCACGGACTCACACCAGCGTCCACCCTCCCCACTTACTATTATTTAGACCTGTCTTCGGATCTACAGCCCAATTGACGCAACCTGAGTTCCAGACCAGCTTGCTTGCTGCTTTCTGTGTCCATTGCGAGTCTTCGACCGCAGCCTCCGGCTTGACCTCTACGGTCGCCGGTGGTGGTGAAAGCATTTGAGGAATGAACGATTGCGATCGATATGATGGCAGTGACTTGAAGATGGGCTCTAGCAGCCGGAGAGTGAAGTTTATCTGGCACTCGACAGTGTAGATGACACTGAGATGGCCGGTGACGGTATTTGGCCCCATAAGGATGAAGAAGTTCGGGAATTGCGGGACCACCGTACCGAAGTAAGCTTGCGCGACGCCTTGTGAGGTTTTATCCCACTACGATATGCATCAGTATATAGGTCTCATGCGGCAATTTGTGGTAAACTCACGTGTTCGTTCAGTCGCAGTCCGTCACGCCCCGCGATCTCCATCGGACAGAGCATCTGCTGCGTCGCGAAGCCGGTCGCAAGCACGATCGCATCCGCTTTCACCTCGCGACCGCTCTTTGTTACCACGCCATCATCGGTGATTCTTTCCACTGGGTCGTTGGCGACCAGCTCAATGTTATCTCTCCATAGGGTCTTCAGATAGTCCGTGTCCAATACTTTCCGCTTGCACCCAATTTCGGTCTTTGGGATTAACGCGCTCCAATACTTGGGCGGCGCCATGCTCTTTACGTATGCTTCGTTCTCCTTGGCCAGGTTTTGGCGAATGCTGCGCCCAGTCTCAATGTCAAAACCACTCCAGTCGCGCTCCATGTCGTAGTAGAATTTCGCACGGTAGAGGCGCATTGCTAGTGGTACGTAGCGCATTACGGTTTTGAAAGTATCTGAATAGTAGGGGTTCTGGCGTTCTGCAAGGTATTGCGCTTGTCGTCCGAACTGTGTGAGTTTGCGCACGGGGTTGGGCTCGTTCGCCATGATAGGGACGAATTGAGTTGCTGAACAGCCATTGCCTGGGACTTCGTAAGCACACAACTGACGAGCCGATATACATAGACATACCAAGTACGACGACATCTTTGTCCTTCCAATCGAAACTGTGGTCCCATTGCGCAGAATGAAACAGTTTGCCCTGGTACGTCTCCACTCCGGGCAGATCGCACTGCTCAGGCACTGAGAGTGAGCCCACACCCGAGACAAGTATCTTCGCTCGACGCGTTGTCCGTTCTTTGGTTTGAAGGTTCAAGATGGATACCTCCCAGACGTTGTCGACATCGTTCCAAGCTGCTTTCTCCACTATGGAATGGAAGCGGACGTGATCCACGATCTTGTACTGCTCGGCCACAGAGCGGAAGTAGGCCTGAATCTCAGGACGCATGGAGTATTTTCTCGACCAATCTGGGTTCAGCGCGAAGCTATAGGAGTAGAAGTGCGAGGCAACCTAGTCAGCTTAGCATAGTTTTCGGCACGGATAGCTGTATGGACTCGGAACAACTTACATCGCATCCACAACCTGGATATGTGTTTGCCAACCAAGTGCCCCCGACATCGTCACTCTTCTCAATGAGCTCAAAGTTACGAAGACCATACTTGCGAATGATTTGGACAGCGAGGCCCAGGCCGCTCATGCCCGCACCTATGATGAGAACCTCCGTATCGAAAGACATTATGAAGAAGCTTCAAGTGACTCGAAGATACAACAGGATATGATGAGGCGAGTCCAGAAGGGCGACCAGCATCGGATAGAGCAATAGGGATACTTATACCTTCGGCTTTACGCCATCTCCTCCGCTGATCCACTGATCCACACCCCAGAACGACCAGATCCCCATCGGTGGAGCCTGCGTCTCCCGTTCAACCTCATCATGTCCGGAGTATGGATGCCGTCTAACCTCTTCGTGCCTGTGTTCGCGCGTTGACGTTGAGGTATGGTCGTTGTTTGGGCAGGTCTGCCGAGCAGGAAGAAGGAAGTTTGCCGACAGCCAATGACAGACCTCGGCTGTTGCGGGGACCCCACACCTTGCACACGCGTGTATGCTTCTCGTCACGATCCGGACCTTTCGCTTTTGGCATCCCGACGTCTGCCTCTTCGATTGCGCGTACGATTATTAACATCACTTCGGAATGCTCGTGGTGTTTAACGTTGGATGTCGCGGGGAACTGACGTCATCGCTTCGTCGCGGCGTTTTGCGATTGTAACGCGCATCTCACTCACAAAACGAACGCCAACCTCCTCGCCTACAATGTTGAGGAGCACAACCTGGCGAAGAATGAACGTGTGGGATTGGTGATTTTCCTAAGCCTGATCATAGGTGACAGCGAGCTGTCAACTGCGCCAGACTCGCAATGGGGTTACCAGCAAGTCTCGCACGCGACATATCGCCACCGCGGCCTTCAAAGCGACG